TTAACTATCTCCGTAGAAAACTATTTTAGTTATTTAGGATAAATTTTTTTTTTTTTATATCTAAATAAACGATTAATGTAATAAAAAATTATATTTGTTTGTTTTATCTATCTTGCTTAATACAGTACTCTTATGTGTTAAAATATATTAATAGTTCACTTTATTAATAAAGTTTAAAACTTACTAAATATTAAAATATTTTCCAAAAAATACATTGGAAAAATCTATATTAAATTATAAAAATATTAATATATTAAAATTATATATATGTTTTATATGCATATTCATTCAGAAAAATTTATATTACATTATTTTATTTATTTAATAAACAAATATTTTTATTACTTATATGTTCAACTTTTTTACAAAATAATTGAGAAAACCTATTATGATTTTATAAACATAATTTTTATTAAAATTTGTTCATTAAAATATATATTTCATATATATAAAAAGAGTTTTTTAAAATTTTTACCAACTATAAAAAAATTTAAAACAAGGAAAAAAGTTAACTGAGATTAACATAATTCTTTAATTTTGTATTATTAATATATTGACGTATTAATTACAATTACAATTACAATTGCAATTACATTGTTTTGTTTTTTATTATAATGAATTAATCTTCATTTTTATAAAATAATTTTTCTTAATATGAAAAAGTTGCTAAATTTGCACACATTTATACCATGAAAAATAAGACTTTAAATACTATATTAAGTTATAATTCCTTCAACTGGATTAATAAAAAATTGTCTTTTTTTTTTTAATGTAGCAAAAAACCTATATCTTTATAATAATAAAATAGACTTTCTTTAAATTGTGACAAAAAAGAAACAGTTGTAATTAAAAAAAAAAAAAATAAATATAATAAATTAGTATTAATTATATAATATATGACTTTATATCTTTAGCATATAATTAAAGGTTCTTAAGTATAAATAGTTATTATGTAGAGGTGTTTTGCTTTTTTAGTTTATTTTATTATAAAATTTTTAATTTCATATATATTTTATACTCTATATAATCGTAGTTTATTAAACTTTCTATAGGTCTAAGAATTAAAGGATTTAATCAACATTAAAATGCTAAAAAAAAAGGGGAAACTAGAAAAATGATTTTAATAAGACAGTTTTATTGTTTAAAAATTTATATTTTCTGGATAAATATTTATAATATGCAAATCATTAATACATAAAAAATATTAATATGTATGGAATAAAACTAATAATGTGACAAATATATATTATATTTTATATAAATCCATTCATTTTACCTATAGAAATAAAAATATCATCATTTTGAGATATATATTTAATTCTTGAGCATGCATGTGTTGTAATCGACTTAAGAAACCTTCTGATTAAAGCTTAATTAAAAATGTAATTCTTTGAATTTCACATGCATATATATTTTTGAGTTGTAAAAGATAAAAATAAAAGGTATATCCAATTGAATTAATAAGATAAGACTAATTTGAGTTCTTTTACATGCAAAAATAAAATAAATAGTAACAAATAAAAAGCCTTACATTTTAAACATGCATATTATATATTTAAGACATTTCTCTTATTTCTTATAGTAAAAAATATCAGACAATTCAGCTCAAATACATATTGTTAAAACTTTCACTTTTTACAGGAGCTTGTAAGAAAATATTTTAAATGTGTTCAACTATTCTTATTACAATTACGAAAATTTATATATATTTTTTTTTACTTTTATATTTTCATATTTAAAAAACTTTATATTTAGTTTAATTATACTTCTTTTTTTAAATATTTTTAAGATATTTAAGTTTATACAACAAAAAAAGATAATTATATAATTTTTTTTGATTGAAACATAACTTTTTATGATTTCACTAAAAATTTTAATATATATAATATAATAGTTTAAAATAGTGAAGAATATATATAGGTGTACTTCAAAATGAAGAAATTAGCCATTTTATCGGCATCTTCGTTTTTATTTGCTGACTTTCTATTTCAAGAGTATCAACACAATGGAAACTACAAAAATTTTAGACTTTTAAATGAGGTGTGTTATAATAATATGAATATTCAATTATATAATGAATTGGAAATGGAAAATTACATGAGTAACACATATTTCTATAATAATAAAAAAACCATTAGATTACTTGGAGAAAATGATAATGAAGCAAATGTTAATAGAGCAAATAATAATGTAGCAAATGATAATAGAGCAAATGGTAATAGAGGAAATGTTAATAGAGCAAATGATAGAAATATACCATATTTTAGAGAAAATGTTGTGAATCTTAATCAACCAGTTGGAGGAAATGGTGGTGTTCAACCTGCTGGAGGAAATGGTGGTGTTCAACCTGCTGGAGGAAATGGTGGTGTTCAACCTGCTGGAGGTAATGGTGGTGTTCAACCTGCTGGAGGCAATGGTGGTGCTCAACCAGTTGCAGCAGGTGGTGGTGCTCAACCAGTTGTAGCAGATGGTGGTGTTCAGCCTCTTAGACAAGAAGGTGATGCTGAAGAGGATGGAGGAAATGGTGGTGTTCAACCTGCTGGAGGAAATGGTGGTGTTCAACCTGCTGGAGGAAATGGTGGTGTTCAACCTGCTGGAGGAAATGGTGGTGTTCAACCTGCTGGAGGAAATGGTGGTGTTCAACCTGCTGGAGGAAATGGTGGTGTTCAACCTGCTGGAGGAAATGGTGGTGTTCAACCTGCTGGAGGAAATGGTGGTGTTCAACCTGCTGGAGGAAATGGTGGTGTTCAACCTGCTGGAGGAAATGGTGGTGTTCAACCTGCTGGAGGAAATGGTGGTGTTCAACCAGCTGGAGGAAATGGTGGTGCTCAACCAGCTGGAGGAAATGGTGGTGCTCAACCAGCTGGAGGAAATGGTGGTGCTCAACCAGCTGGAGGAAATGGTGGTGCCCAACCAGCTGGAGGAAATGGTGGTGCCCAACCAGCTGGAGGAAATGGTGGTGCTCAACCAGCTGGAGGAAATGGTGGTGCTCAACCAGCTGGAGGAAATGGTGGTGCTCAACCAGCTGGAGGAAATGGTGGTGCCCAACCTGCTGGAGGAAATGGTGGTGCTCAACCTGCTGGAGGAAATGATGCTGCTAAACCTGATGGAGGAAATGATGATGACAAACCTGAAGGAGGAGATGAAAAATCTGAAGAAGAAAAGGAGGATGAACCAATACCAGATCCAACTCAAGAAGAAATAGATAAATATTTAAAAAGCATACTTGGTAATGTTACATCTGAATGGACTAATTGCAATGTAACATGTGGGAAAGGTATACAAGCTAAAATAAAATCTACATCTGCTAATAAGAAAAGAGAAGAAATTACTCCAAATGATGTTGAAGTAAAAATTTGCGAACTAGAAAGATGTTCTTTTAGCATATTTAATGTTATAAGCAATTCGTTAGGTTTAGCTATAATTTTAACCTTTTTATTTTTTTATTAAATAAATATTATAAAATTTTTATGTTTATTTTTTTTTTTTTTTCTGTGAATTTTACTGATTTTTGCACTAAACTGTATATTTTATTTTTTTTAAATATGTTATTCTCAGAAATATGAGTATTTTTTTAAATATTATAAATTAGGAGACATAAAGATGTTTATAAACTCTTCATTTGTTAGTTTTTTTTTTTATTTTCATACTGTTTAAAATAGAAAAAAAATTTTAAATTAGAGAACATATTTATAATTTATTTAGATAATGCAAAATTTTCATTTATTTTTTAAACTTATTTAAACATATATATATATATATATATATATATATATATATATATATATATATAATCCAGGAGCCCTACAACGTTTGTCTTAATGAATAATGGATTTAAAAAAAAAAGAAGAATTAAGTTATTTTATACACAAATACAGTCGTACATATTTATATGTAAGTTGTTTTTTTGTATAAATTCTTGTTTTAAATTTTAAAACTAGTAAAATTTAAATGCAAATGCATTTCTAAAGGAAGTTTAACTTTAAACTAATAATATTTTATAATAAATAACAAATGTTCATTTGTAAAGATATATATTATGTTTACTAATTGAACTATTTATTGTATATATATGAACTAAAAATGCAAACTTTCCTTTTTTTGTTAATATAAGGTCTATTAAGTGTAATTTAAAGATATCCATAGTAAAATTTTAGTTTTAAGTATTTTAATTAAATGAAATTAAAAATATAAAGATAATCTTTGGAATTTTATAGAAATTATATAATTAGTTAAAATCATTTAATTATATAGATAATTTTTTTCAACTATTATTAATAACTTTATAGTGAAACACACAAAATTATATTTTTAAATTATAATAGTAAATACTTTTTTTAAATTCATAAGTATTTCAACATTATGAAATAAGAAAATTTTTATATACAAATTGAATTTTGAACGCTTTTATATGCGTCATATTTATCACTAATTTTTCTTACAATATATTAAAATTAAAAAAAAAATTTATAAATAATGTTCAGCATAATGCCTTTTCATTTTTAACATAAAATTAGCTATTTTACATTTTGTTTCAAAAAAAATCTTACATATACATACGTTTTTACAATGATTACAAAAAATAATTTTGGATTTTTATTTTTTTTAAGAAGAAATGCAATGAATAAAAATGTAAAATTTTCTTCTTTAATTAAATTTTCAAAAATTAACTTATTTAATTCATTCTCTGATGAAAAAAATGGAACCTTCGAAAACAAAATTGATCAAAACAAAAAAGAATGTATAGAGTTTGAAAAATCAGATATATATATGGTTAATAAAATAAGCAATAAATGATATAAATTTTAAATAAATAATAGTATATGATAATGAAATATTTTTTTTCTTATTTTCATAATACGCTCTATTTAATTTAAATAACGTATTTTACTTTAGACTTTAAGAACAAAAATTAAAGAAGTTCTTGAGAAAGAAAAGATAGTTTTATTCATGAAAGGGTCACCAGAAAAACCCCTGTGTGGATTTAGTGCAAATGTATTTATTTATTTATTTTTTTTTTTTCTATATTATTAAACATATATTCATATTTTAAATTGTTAAAAAAAAATTTATGCAGGTTGTTTACATTTTAAATCATATGAATGTAAAAGATTATGTTTATATTGATGTTATGAAGAATCAAAATTTACGTGAAGCTATAAAAATTTATAGTAATTGGCCATATATTCCCCATTTGTATGTAAGAAATAATTTTATTGGCGGGTATGACATAATTTCAGAATTATACAATAAAGGAGAATTAGAAAAGATACTAAAATAATAATTTTTTTTTTTTTTTTCTTTTTATATATGAAAACTTATTTTGTAGTTAAAAAAAAATAATATACATGAATTTTAAATAACTTCCATGATTTAAACTTTTAAAATAAGTGTGTTATATGTTAATGTTTTATTTTAAAATTAAACAGTTTATTTAAGTAAACATTTTAATTATTTATTCTACTATCTTATAAATAAACAAAATTAGCAGAATTTTCTTTAAATTATTTTGTATACTTTTAAAAAAATATTTATTTTTTACCATATATAATAAATTTTATTTTCATTAAACAGTACATGATATCAAATATAATAAAAAAGTTCGTAGGAAAATAAAAGTGTGATGGTTTTATTTATTTCAATATACTGCTCCTTTCTTTTTTTTATCCGCTCCCATTTCAAATGTTTTACATCTTTTCATTGTTAGAAATCTTTTCTTCTTACATTTAGTACATTCCTATGAACATAAAAATAAAAAAAAAAATAAATAAAATTTAATTATGAGAAATAAGCAGGAATGATAATTTAAATGAAACTGTTCATAAATTTGGTTTTTTAATAATAAATAATTTTTGCAGAAACAAGTTTAGGAATTTGTTCATATATAAATAATATTTTCATTTTATATAAGCTATTATAGTAAAATAGATTAAAATTTTTTGCAAAAATATTATAAATTTTTATTTTTTACTAATTTAAGAACAATTTTTTTAGTTGTTTTTGCTTTTTTTTTAAAAACTGGTTTTGTTTGGCCTCCAAAACCTTTTTGTTTCATATCGTATCTTCTTCTTCCTAATGCTGACGTTCTTTCCTTTCCCTTTTTATATTGACTCACTTTATGTAACGTATGCTTTTTACATTTATTGCTACAATAAGTTTTTCTTGTTTTAGGAACATTTACCATCTTTTTAAATTTTATAAGTAAAAAATAAATATTTTTATATTGAGAAAAAAGGTTAAATTTTCTTTTTAAAAATATATATGATGATTTAATCAAAATATTTTAAATTTAAAAAAGTAAAATTTTGTTTTTAATTTTTTTTTTTTTTATGTGAATGAAAAATGTATGAGCATTTCACATAAATTATATATATTTTATTTCATTATATAAAAAATGTAAATTTTTATTTTATTTATTTTTTTTTTTTTTTAGAGATCAAAGTGGGGCATTTTTTATTTAGTAAAATTTTTACGAAATGATTCTATAAAAATGAAACATTCATTATTTCTTTTTTATTTTCACATTATTATATAATTTAAATAATTTAATAAAGAGGTTTAGTTTTTTAAAAGATAAAAAACATTATATATATAAAATTTTTAATTAATTTTTTTTTTTAATAAATTATGTATATATATATATATATATATATATATATATATATATATATATATATATATATATACGATCTTATTGTATTAATCTAAATTTTTTTTTTTTTGTATTTTAAAATAAAGAAAAAAAAATAACAAAAAAAATAAAAAAATTTATAGGATGAAATATAATGATAAATTAAAAAATCATGAATTATTTATACAAACTTATACAAATACATTAAAATACATATTTAAATAAATGAAATATATATATATATAAAAGGAAAATAAAGGTTTATAAAAAAAATTTTAAAATATAAGTGACAGTATATTTATATAATTTAAATAAAAAGCTTGACTTCCATTTTTAACTAAATTTTTTTTTATCTTGCAATTTTTTACTTAAAAAAATTTTTAGTTTATAAAAAAACGAACAAATTGAACATTTTAATTTCTTAAATAAATTTAGTTCTTCACTTTCTTCATAATTAACCAATTTTTGAATATTTTTATATACATCGTATGGTAGAATTATAATTTTTTTATGCTTCTTGTCTTTTGTTAAAAAAATGTTTTTATCCTTAACACATATGTGAGGATTATACATATACATGTTTACAAGTATATTATTAATTTTTATACAATTTTTATTCTCGTATTTTTTTAATTTGTAGAAATACTCATTCTTTACGTCAACTTGTTGATAATCAAATTTTATACTCAAATTGGCAATATTTTTTTCCTTATTTAATTCATTACTATGAATATTATTTATTTTAATTTTTTTTTTAGTTAAAACGCAATCATTCTTGTTCTCTACTTCCATAAATTGTTTTTTGTACAGTAAAATGGGACTTTGTGATATCAAAACATTAATATAAGATGATATAAATTTTTCAAAATTGAGGACAATATAATTTAATTTGTTTTTTAATAATGTATTCTCTTTTTTAATTAAGTAATTTTCTTTCATATGCATATCTAATAATACATACAATTCATTATTTTTTAATTTGGAATCTTTAATTTTTTCAAAATTTTCAATAATTCCGGAAGGAATCATTTTTATATCTTTACATGATTCATTTATATCTTCTCTTTTTTTTTCTTCAAAATTATTAAAAGCTTTACTGTTTAAATTGTTTTCTTTATCTATCGAAGGATTGCTTTTTACACTTGTACAGAGAAAATCGTTTCCTTTCTTTTCAATTTCATAATTACTACTCTCGTCCGTGTAATTATCTCTAATTTTTTTCCCTATATTGCATTGTGTTATTTCTTTATTAATTAAAAAATACTTTAAATTATCCAAAATATGTTTTTCTTGTTTTATAAAAGGAACGATGTATATAAGTATTTTTCTTTTTTTTTCATTGTTAATAATGTTGTGTGTATAATTTATAAATTTTAACAAGCATTTAATTAAATCTTCTCCCAACATATTAAAGTATTTATTAATTACTAATATAACTATTATTTTATTTACACATTTGTTAATAAAATATATAAATAATTCTGAATTGTTCATATTTTTTTCAATATATATATTGATTGAATAAAAAGTTAAATAAAAATGATAATTAATGTGGTTAAGAAATTCGCGATTCGTAATTAATTTTTTTGATAAAATAAAAAAATAACACAATTTATTTAAGAAGTGTAAGTAATATTTTATATAATCCTTATCACGAAAATTATTCATAAATTTATCTTCACTTAGTTTCTGACAAATATTACTATCAAAAAATCCCATGAATATTCTTAAAACATCATCATATTCTCCCGATGATTCATTAATTGCATTTTTGAATAGTTTCAAAAAATTGTAAATTGTTATATATTGTAAGTATATGTCAGTTTTATTTGATACTATCATAGAATTAAAAATTTTATAATATTTTAAAAAATATGAGAAAATAAATTTTTTTATTTGATAATTATTTTGAATATACAAATCATTAAGTACGTATGATAAATATGTCAACAAGCTATGATTAAAATTGACATCATTATCATGAAATGACTTTATGTAATTTGAATACGTTAAAATTATTTCATTAGTTAGTAGACATATATTTTTATTTATTTTATTAATTAAATTTTTTTTAATAAATTTTATCTCTATCAATTTATTTTCACATTCTATTTGATATTCACTGGTATTTTGATTTACATTATTTTTGTTATTAATAGTTAATAAATATCGAATATTGGATATTAGGGAAAGAATTTTAAAAAAATTTTCATTTCCGTTGTACGTTTTTGTTATTTTTAAATAATTATTAGAATACTTTAAATTTTTTAAGATATTAAAAACAAAATTTAAAAATGATAAAAAGAACAAGCTTTCATTATATTTAGATGATATTGTGTTCCTTAAAAATGTATCTTTTTCATTTACCAGTTTATTTAAATTAACTAATTTATTATTTACATGCATCAGCAAATTAATACTCTCTAAAATACACTGTATATCATTAAGAGTTCTATTTTCTATATATTTGATTTTTTTAACAATTATGGTTAACAATATAATATTGTGTTTAAACAAAAAAGAACAATTTATATCTTTTGAAATATATTTATATGCATTATCAACTTCTTTAATAATATCACGAGCACCATTATAATAGTATTTTTGATTGTCTTTATTATTACATTCTTCATAAATTAAAGGTTCCTTGAAAAAGGTATGTTTTTTATTATTCTTTAAATCATTAATACTATATTGTTTAAAATTATATATATCATTATTTAAATCCTTATTATTATAAAAAAGTTCTTTTTGCATATTATTATTATTATTATCGTAAAATTCTTTTTCTTCATAATATTTTTCAATATAATTCCATGTAAATTTATCTTTTTGTATATAAAAATAATTATCATTTAAGATAGTGCAAAAATTGTTAGATATCCTTTCTTCGTTGTTGCAATTTATATTAAAAGAATTTAATTGAAAAAATATGATCTCATTTACTAAATGGAGAACTCTAATAGAGTAAAAATAATTATAATGATGATTGTGTTTATATACATTTTTGTGCTGTGTATATAATATAAAATTAATAAAGTTTATATATTTTTTTCTATTATTTTTTAAAACATTTAATACATTTAATATTTCTATATATGTTTGATGAAAACTTAATTTATTACTTCTAATATTTTTTTCATGATTTTTATTATTTTCATTATAATTTGATGTAATATTATTTATTAATATGCATAAATTTTGTAAAATAAACTTATGTATTTCACGAAAAAAAGAAATTATTTTAAAACTATCACACTTGTAATTTATTATTTTTTTGTAAAGAAAAAAAAATGATACTAGTGAATAAAAATCTAAACTCTTAATTTCTTTACACAAATCTAGAAAATTTTTATCGTGAAATATAATTTCTATATCAAATGAAATTTTGCTTTCATATTTACTAGGTAGTTCGAGATAAAACAAGTAAAGCTTTCTGTTAATATTAACATTATTTTCAATTATTTTATAGGGAAAAATATTTCCATATTTTAAAGAGTTCTGTTTAACTAAGTAGCGATTTATTCTATCAATTAAAACAAATATATTTTTTAAATTATTATATAAATTTTCGTTAATTAATACACTGTCTACATTATTTTTTTTACAATAATAAATTTCATTTTTATTAAAAAATTCACTTTTTTTTATGTTTATTTTTTCATCATCACTTTTTTTTTCAAATATATAATCCTTAAGTACGTTGAAATTTTTGTAATCTCTAAAGCAAAACTTATATTTTTTATATCTATCATTTGTTCTTAAACATAATAGACTGTTATTTAAATTGTTTATTCTTTTAGTGACATAATTTTCACTACAAAAAATTTGATGACAAGCATGTTTTGAAAACTTTAGCATATTTTTTTCATTTTATTTATATCTTTTATTTCTTAATAATTTTCTTATACTGTGCATATATATAAACATATGTATATATATATTTTTTTTTTCATATTTTTACCTATTTTAATTTTAAAATTTCATTAATTACTTAAAATCATTGTTTATTAAATATTATTTCAAAAAAAAATTTTTTTCATGAAACTAGTTTTTTGTTTTTGGTTCTTAAAATTCATTTTTTTTTTTTTTTTTTTTTAATAAAAAAAAAAAAAAACAATTAACACTTAGCTTGTTGAAGTTTTTTACATCATTCTTTATTTAATTATTATCTTTAACACATTTTTTACTTTAAATTAAATTTTTATTTGTACTAAAATTATAAAACAAATTCAAGGAATTAAAATTTATTCTTATGGATGAAATATATATTCTAAAATTATAAATTTAAAATATTGTACTTTATTTTCTTTTTTCAAATTTCTAGCGTTTCTTATTATTATGTTTAGAATTTTTTAATATAATTATTTAAAAATCCATACTATTAATATTTTTTTTCTCTTTTCCTTTTTAATTTTTAAATATTTTTATTATAAAATTTTAGCAATTTCTTAATGTTGCAATTGTTACAACTTATTTATAAAGGTTTCCTTTGTTTTTTTTAAATAATATAAAATATCATTATTAAAAAAAAAATTTTTGAAAACAAATATTTAATTAAAGAATAGTATTATAAGGATAAAAATTTTAAACTTGACGAAAATCTTAATTTTTAATTATTTAGATTTACGATAAAGGAAATTTTGTTTTAATTTTTTTAGAAATATGGATATTTAACGTAGGAGTTAATATTTTTTTTTTAAAAAAAAATATTTTAACAGAAAAAGAAAAAATTAATTAAAAAATATTTTTATATGTGTATATTTAGGTCAATAATGCAACATTAACTTTAAATTTTTACATAGTTCTTGTTAGTTTCCATATAATTATATGTAAAAATGTGTTGATGTTTGTCAATAATATTACGAGTCTTTTTTATTTTTTTAATTGAGATGTTCTCTTACCACAAGAAATATTTATATACCATTAAAACAATATTATAAGAAAATAAACATAGAGATGATTTACAACTATATAAATAATATATAATTTAAATTTTTATTTTTTTTATCAAAAAATTTAATGAAAAAATAATAAACAGATAATTATTTTAATATGCTAAAAAAAAAAAGTTGAATTTTTATATGCATCTGAAAAAACCCAAAACTTTTATTAATCTTAAAATTATTTATATTTTTATATTTTTCCTTAAAACACATATATGACGTAGTAGGGTGGTATTTTTTTTTTTTTTTTTTTTTTTCTTCTGTTTTTTGTTGATGTACTTTTTTCTTTTAAACATAAACAGCCTCTAAAAAAATTCATAGCATTTAAGTTCTTAACGTATTATTTTAGTAACTTTCATGTTAATAAAATTATATTTATCAATTTTATTAAATATTATTTATTTTAATTTATTTATTTATTAATATAATTATTTAAAAATATATAATTATTTTAAATTAAAAAAAAATATAAATACATGTATATTTATTTCTTGTTAAAATTAATTATTAACAAATTTTATTTAATTTTTTAATTACATATAAATGCATTATATATATTTAAAAATTTAAACATCTTAAACTATTTTAAAAATATTTAATAAAAAAAATTGCATGGAGATTATAAATGAAAAAATGTTAAAATTTCATTGAAGAAACTCTTAAATCCTTGTACTTTTAAATTTTTTTTTAAATATGTTTAAAAAAAAAATATTAAAATTTATTATTTTTCTAAGTTAAAATAGATTAAAAAATAATAAAGGCAAAAATTAAAATTTGATTTTCTAACATAGTAATAAGAACTACTAATAACACCTTATGTTACTTTTTTAAAACTCCCTTTAAGTTATATAGGGAGCTTTTTCATGATTCTATTTTTTTACTCAGTAATTTTTTTTTAAATTCACTTAATATTTAGAAAAATGAAGAATTTAACTTTTAAAAGTTAATAAAATATATAAACACTATAATATTTAAAATATTAATTTAAAAAAAAAAAAAAAAAAAATACATAAGGATTTTAAATACTTAAGATTTTTCCTTTTTAGTTTTAAAATTATTTAATTATTTATTTTTATGTAATTTTGATTGTCTACATTTATAAAAATTTCTTTATTTTGCTCATTTTTTTTTTTTTTTTTTTTTTTTGATTTTTAGAATCACTTTTTTTTTTTTATTATTTAAACATATTTATTCTTTTTATATTTCTATATATGTACATGATATTAATTCAGAATAAATTACAAACATATTGAAATATTTCTTAATAAGTAATATATATGGATGAACTAAAAAAATGAAGAAATTTTTTCATAAAACAAAAGAGGAAAATGTGGTTTATGATAATGTGCTGGATGGACTTTATAATTTATACAAAACTTATATACTAGAATTAGAAAAGGAATATATGTATTATCATTTTTATAAGCCGTTATTAACTAGTGGAGACTTTTTATCTAAACCAATGATAATGTTATTAGGTCAATATTCTACTGGAAAAACAACTTTTATAAAACATTTAATTGAAAAAGAATATTGTGGTATGAGAATAGGTCCAGAACCAACCACTGATAAATTTGTAGCAGTTATGTATAATGAGAAAGAACAATTAATACCAGGAAATGCTTTAGTTAGTGATATAACAAAACCATTTTCTCAATTAGAAAGTTTTGGTAATAGTTTTTTATCTAAATTAGAATGTTCTAATACATCCAGCGAAGTATTAAAATCAGTAACGATAATTGACACCCCGGGTGTTTTAAGTGGAATTAAGCAAATAAGTAGAGGATATGATTTTGAAAAAGTTATATATTGGTTCGCCCAAAGAGTTGATTTAATTTTATTAATTTTTGATGCACACAAATTAGATATATCAGATGAATTCAGAAGATGCATACAAGCTATTAAAGGTCAAGATTCAAAAATTCGAATAATCTTAAACAAAGCTGATAGCATAAATACTCAACAATTAATGAGAGTATATGGTTCTCTAATGTGGTCTTTAGGTATAGTAATAAATACTCCAGAAGTAAACAGAGTTTATATTGGCTCTTTTTGGGATAAAAAGTTACTGCATGATGAAAATAGAAGTATTTTTGAGGAAGAGGCTTCTGATTTATATAAAGATATCTCAAAGATTCCACGAAATTCTACTATGATTAAATTAAATGATTTTGTTAAGAGATGTAGAACATTAAAAGTACATATTTATCTTTTATCTTACTTAAGAAAGAAATTGCCATTTTTTCGTAAAGATGAAAAAAAAAAAAACTTAATAAATGATTTAGAGACAGTTTATCAAAATGTTTCTAAAGATTTTAATTTACCAATTGGTGACTTTCCTCCAGTACAATTTATGAGAGAAAAACTTTATGAGATAGACTGGATAAAAATACCAAAATTAGATATAAAAAAAATAGAAAGAATAAATAAAGTGTTAAATATTCATATACCACAGTTATTAGAAATGATACCAAAAGAAAATATAGAAATAGATAAATCAAGAAATGAAAACCAAGAGGGTACAATAGTAGAAAATAAATTAACTCCATTTTTAGAAATGACTTCAGGAGAAATCCCTTTATGGGTAAAGCAGAAATATTTATCCAATCCTATAGATACATCAAAATATTCAGATGATTTTTATAGATTAGGTCCAGATGAATTTGGTAAATTATCAGGTGAACAAGTCAAACAAGATTTAATTAAAAGTAAGTTACCTAGTTCCGTTTTACATAAAATATGGAATTTATCGGACTTAACAGAAGATGGATATCTGGATCTTTTTGAATATTCTTTAGCAAGACATTTCATAGAAATGAAAATTGATGGTGTTGATCTACCCACAAAGGTACCTAAAGAGATTATACAATGATATACCTATCTGGTAATTTTTAAAAATATTAAAGGAAGTTATATAATAATATCAGCAAAAATATCAAATAGATTCACACTATAACATATATGTAAAAAAAAAAAAAAAAAAAAAAAACATTAAAATTATTTATTTGATTTGAAATAATATTTTTTTCCAATTAAAAAATATTATAGTTTGCTATAAACTTATTTTACTTTTTTTTTTTTTTTTTTTATTTAAAATATCATATAAATTATTTTTTTGAGTATTTATATAAAAATCGTTTGTTTTATATTTTTTGTTATTTTAGAAGATACGCAAAAATATGTTACACATTTGTATAAAAATTAAATACATATAAATGTTGTTAATACTTTTTGAAATAATAATAAAATTTCTTTTTATATATATTAATTATATTATTCCTTCTTTTTTATCATTTTTTTTTTTCATTAACTTTTTTTTGGTTGTCTATTTACATATATAATATTTTCTTCTATTTATATATATATATTTCATTTTCAAAAAGTGAAATAAAAGTTCTTTTGTTTTTTATGTTAAATGAATATGTATACATTAATTTTATAATAAATATGCATTTATATGAGATACTAAAATTCATTTCTATAAATATATAGCCTTTATATAAAATTAGGATGTATATTTTAAATATTTTTTTATTTTTAATTTATGATTAAAGTAAAAAAAATGTATATATACTATTAATAATGTACAATAATTTAATTTTTAATGAGTATGGCATTCTACTTTTTAATTAACCTTATTATTTTATTTAATTCATTTAATTTTTTATTTTGTTTTATCTCATCTCATTTATTTTCATAATTTCATAATTATAATTATTTATCTCTTTTTATTATTAATGTTTTGATTTTTTATGATTTTTCTATTTCATTAAACAGAAGTAATAACACAATTTATTTTCCATATAAATGTTAAAAATCATTTCAATAATTAAAAAATTCATAACTGAAAAAGAGTGAAATATTCACTTTTTTCTTTTTTTTTTTCCCATTTTATCATGAGTTCAAAAAAAGTATATAAAACATTAATAATTTAATGATCATGAACATAATAAAACTTAATAAAATTACTCTTCTAATATTCTTATTCAAATGTAAGTATGAGTCTCTTTTAATTTTTTCTATTTTTTTTCATATTATTTTAGAATATATATGTAAATACATATATGCGCCTAATAAAGGAAAAGAACAATTATATGTTGTTATTCAATTAACGAATTATATATATATACAGATAAATACTTAAAAAAATAATTGTAAATAATTAAAAGAAAAAAAATATTTGTTGATATTTTAACAGGTCATATTAAAAAGTTAAAAAAATAGATTAAACTAATTTCAATTTTCATTATATCGTATCAAACTAATAATGCATATATATTCGTTTTTTTTTTTTTTTTAAATCTGAAGGTTTTTAAATACATAAATGTTAATATCTTTTATATTTTACATTTGAAATTTTTTAAATAATAAAAACGCGATTTCAATAACTGTAAAATTTGGCATTTTAACATTTTCGAAAATTATAATTTTAATAAAAGACAAACATGCATAAGCCATATATTATAATCCTAAAACTATTCAAAACATTATGTTTTTTCCCCTTAATTTTATAAATATAAAAAAACTTATTGTATTAAATAAAGTTATATATATATATATATATATATGCACACATATAATACATTAATATTAACGTTCAGAATTTTTCTAAATAGGATATGTAAAAAGAAGATGAAAAGATATAAATGAGACACAAAGCTATATTTTTTTTCAGTTGCACAATTAGTTAATCTATATACAGAAAAAAAATAGTAAAATAAAGACAACTTTTTTCTATTTAAGACATTTAAGCTTCTTTAACAAAAGAAAGGTGTTTACATAAAAGAACTTACATATGTCATTTGGTTTTTTATTAAATATTCTTGTATATATTATATATACAAATTTAATATGTAAATATAAAGTTACATTAGTGATAATCTTTTAAGAAAAAATAATAGAAATAATAAACGAAATAGTTGTTATGAAAATAGGTTTCATGAATATAATTGTAATGTCTTCTTTTCTTTTCTTTTTTTTATTTTGTTAATTTTTATATTAAAAAAAAATAAAAAAGAAAAAAAAATAATAAATTTTATAAAACAAAAAAAAGAATAATATAAAATAATTAAAATATTCTTAAAAAAAAAAAAAAAAAAAAAAAAAAAAAAAAAAAAAAATTTTTTAAAAAAAAAAAAAAAAAAAAAAAAAAAAAATTTTAAAAAAAAAAAAAAAAAAAAAAAAAAAAAATTTTAAAAAAAAAAAAAAAAAAAAAAAAAAAAAATTTTAAAAAAAAAAAAAAAAAAAAAAAAAAAAAATTTTAAAAAAAAAAAAAAAAAAAAAAAAAAAAAATTTTAAAAAAAAAAAAAAAAAAAAAAAAAAAAAATTTTAAAAAAAAAAAAAAAAAAAAAAAAAAAAAATTAAAAAATTCTTAAAAAAAAAAAAAAAAGAAAAAAAAAAAAAAAAACGGATTTTACATTAACACGTAAATTACAAAAGAATATATTTCAACAATTAATAAAAAATAATTACATGGAGTTTTCTAAAGCAAAATTATAAAAACTGATAAAAACGAAATGATTGTTTCTATTAACAAAAAGTGCCAAAAAGAAATGTAATAAATACTTTGAGTATAACTGATAAATATATTTTTCATTCTTAATAAAAATATATTCATTTATTTCATACTATTACAATATATTTAAACTCCTTATTATACTGTTTTATGTTATTATATTTTATGTCGTTTTTTATGATTTTATGCTATTTTTGTTACCTAGCTTTAAATGATATTATATTATTTTACAGAATATTTTGTATTTATTTACTTTAATTTTATTTTATA